CTTACTAACTGACTCATAGGGACTAAAAATGATGGAACAAGAGAGATCAAGGTTATAAAACACAAAATATACCTACTTTAACAACTCCTTTGCCTCTTTTACCCTCGTTAAACTAAGGGCGGATTTACAATATTACGCTAGTCCTGACATTACGTTGACGCTGGAATCATAGATACTACAAACACACATGGATATGAAACAGGAAGTGCAATATACAGGAATTTATATTGATGACGTCACTAATGCTGTGACTATGCGGGTGTCGCTTGTAAAGAAGCTAAAGTCGGCTGAAGTGGACTTTCATTTATTCACAAACCTCACAGGCTTGCTGTACTGACCTTTTCTTTCAAGAAATTTGAAAGTAAGTGTGTAATAAAACCCCAGAAGTCATTTTTATCTGATTTTACGAGACTATGGCTGTGTTATACACAAATGTATGCCTAAATCAATGAATTTCAACACTTTGAACACTTTTCTGAAGGCTCTATAGATAACTAAGCCCTGTAATTTTGGATTTAGTTAGACCATGGAAGGCTACAGTGACTGTAGCTTTTAGATTTTTCAATTTCTAAACAGAAGTAAAGTTATATCACTTTAAAGGCATTTTTATATGACTTCACTTTGAACACTTTTTCCAGAAAACTATAGTGAATTATACAAAGTAGAATTTTATACTGAATCTTGAATGTGTTGTGCATTGACTAGAAGTAGTCTTGAAGTCACAGTTACCTGCATAGATTTATTATGATTTTTTTAATTATTAGATTTTATTGCAATTTCAGATTCATGGTGTGCCTAAAAATACAGTGAGAAAAAAATAGGACCAAAAAGAAAGCATCACTCTATGGATACTTCTGAGGTAAATGAAAATTCTGTTTTTAAGTAAGATTCCATTCATCCTTATAGCCCGTGGCCTGAATTGATGATCTGTACGATATAGCAACAGCTAGTTCCTTCGTTTTATACCACAATGATTCGTACATGCATAATGATGATTACTCTGCAATTGTAAAGTTGATGGTCTTCAGAATTGGTTTTAATAAAATTGCAGGATCTCTATATATTTCTTGCTCATTGATTTTATCATTGATAGTTGTTATCTTGATTATAATAGCATGATTTATACATAATATGACTTCAACTTTTTCTTTTAATATAATTAAGTTGATGTATTTGACAGTACAGTTAGATTTGATGGAGTTTGTAGCTAAAATTCACCAAGTTTTGCAATTTCTTCTAACAAACTATGCATGATTATTCATTGTGGGTGGGGTTCGAGGGCAATATACATCATCAGTCATCACTTCCTGAGACACTCGCATGGTTACTTCCTGTTTCATATCCATGTGTGTTTGTAGTATCTATGATCAGTGGCATAACGC